GTTTCAAAAGTACCGGTTTGGCACCGGTATCGGATAAAACCTAAACGATACCCACCCCTAGTCATCCTCTGGCCCTGACCTACCTTTCATGGTCCAGCACATTTCTGAGTTAACTCACTTTAACTCTCAAAGTGCTGATAAGGTAGAGATAAAAAAATGATTTTAAAAACTGAGAATCTTTATTCTGTTCATTACCAACACACACCACCTGCAGGTCCCTGTTGTCTTTACAGTAATCGGGGTCAGACTGGCACAAATGGCCTTTTTGCTGTGAGCTGCTTCCAGGATTGAGTTTTTCCAGACAGTCTTGGTTAAATGTTGAACGGATTAAAGGGGGTTTGGAATCCCAGGCTCACACTTTAATACAGGAGCAGCTGAAATGAGCTTCTTATTAGCCAGGTATACCTGTGACAGCTCAAAATGACCCACAGACAGTCTCAGAAACATGAAGGCAGAGCAGAGCACACCTGAAACAAACAAAAAACACCGTGGACCTCTGTACCTGTGATGGAGCCAGAGCACAACATTTATATAAAAGAGACACTTTTGTGATGGACAGTGTTACACACACACACAATCATTGTTTTCATCACTACACTGCCTGTCTGTTCTCTTGGGATGCTGCTGCTGCTGCGCTGCAAACACAACTTCAGCCTCACAGTAAAGTACATGATTTAAGCAGCTCAGTCAGCCTGTCACAGCAACATGACAGCATCTCTGTGTGCGTGTGCGTGTGTGTGTGTGAAGCTCTCACCTGGGTTGCAGTCAGTGAGCAGGGAGCAGATGGACAGTAGGACCTTGGAGATGGTGAGGGCGGGACTCCAGTTGTCCTTCAGGATGTCCAGACAGATCACGCCCTGACTGTTGATGTTGCAGTGGTAGATCCTCGTACGGAACGTCACCTGATTGGTTAAGAAACAGTTTCATTTGATGCTGCATCCTGTTGATCCTGACCTCTGAGCCAATGACACGTTTTAAAAAAGGCTTATTTTAGGTTTCGTTTAATTATCAACAACATGTAAGGTGATCAAACAAACAAGTGTTTTTTATATTTTGGGACTCGAGTCAGGGCAAAAAGTCTACTGACATGTTCAGCTGAAAGACTGTTCAGTACAATGAAACATCACATTAGGACATTATGGGATACATCAGTGGATATCTTGGTGCCTATCACAGACATCACAATGATCAGAAAGAGACACTTCAGTAGTGTAATAATACATCACATCCCAGTGTTTCCAGGAGAGCTGCTGGTTTCTAACCAGGTGGGGAAACAGAGAGCAAACATAATGATGCCATCACTTCAAGTCTAACTTGTTCACAAGCTGTATATTTGATCACATGACTCTCTGATCACATGACCGCAGGTACTTACAGGCGAAGCATGGTGCTGAATTAGCAGTCATGTGTGTTATTACTACCTGATGGTGACACTTGTTGAGCAGATATCGACCCAGGAGTCAGAGTGGAGGCTGAACCTGCACTGAACCCTCCCTCCTCCTAACTGTAGGTGTTCCTTGCAGCTAATTTTAACCGACTGACCGACTGGTCTAAACCTGAGAAACAGTCAGATAGCGAGTTAAATTTAAGGACTGTTCAAAGGACAATATCAGATCCCACTGCTGTAATGATTCATATAAATGCTGCTTAACTGTGTGGCACCTTGCATGATGCATTACAGTAACTTCCAAAGACACAATGAAGAAAACGAAACAACAAACTGATGTTAAATATGATATGAAAACACATTACTACAAAAGATGCTCATGTTTTATTAAAATACGACAGATTAACATCTGGAGAACAAAAGCGTGGCACATTGTGCCGTTCTCCACCCAACCCAGCAGGACACCACCTCAGCTGGTTCTTTTTGAGGAGTAGCAGATCTAACTGTGACCTCCTCACCCTGACTCTAAGGGGGAGGACGGCCGCTCTATTTCTGTTCCCTTCACAATGACTAACAACAAACAGGCCCAATAAAACAGGCCTATGATAACAGACTTGCAGTGTTTTCCTGCAGCTCCGTCTGTTAGCACATGCCTCCTGACATTTAGGACGTGACAGGTTCAATCAATGAAACACTTGTCAGTTAGATTAAACGACCAGCACAGGCTGACAGCGCTCTTCATATCCTGCCTGTATCAACACTGAAGACATTCCATAGCTCAGCACAAAGAGCCCTGCATCATTAAGCAGTGACCTTTGACCTCTGTGTGTCTTTAGAAACGAGGCTGATGAGCTGTAGCTTGCCCCCGTTCATGTCACCCTTCCTCCGTTCAGAGAGACAAACCCTCCTCTTATTATGAAGATCAACAGATTGATGTATCTGTCACTGTTTCACGTCAGCAGTGCTGCAGCGCCACATTGGAAACATCTGAGAGGACTTCACTGCTACACTATAAATATACATTGTGTTATCTTACACAGCATGAGTGTTAAAAAACTTGAAATATTATCATTACACATGCTCTGGCTAAGCAGTGTGAGTGCTGTCAGGCATTTGAGTGTGATGAGTGTGAGCGAGCTATGTGAGGGCTGACTCTTGTCATCTGCGGTGCTGTTTCCAAACCAGGAAGAGATGCGGTAGCTGAGATTGTTTTCTGTAAAATCTGCTCATAGCTGGGACGGGAGGTCCACCTCCATCAGCCAGGTGACGGAGAGGTGGGTTAGCTCGTCTGTCTGAACTCCCGAGAACTTGTGCCGTGAATCCTTTCTGTCAGAGAGCTGCAGGTATAGTCCGTCGGTTATAGTGTCAGCTGCTCCTTTCCTGTAAGCGCACTCGTTGTGGTCGGCTGTAAGACCAACACCTGTGTGTGACGTGACTGGTGATGTCACATGTCAGTAATGTGAGCAGAAGGGGCGCGGTGTGTTCTAGCAACGTTATCTGTCCCGAGTGCACGTGTCAGGCAGCCCAGCAGGGAACATGTCACGCTGGACGCTGAGCTGAAGTCAGTGAGCAGCACTCTGGCTGAAGCCTTCTGGTTTCTCTACGCGAGTCAGAGACACAGGGTGGAAACCTCGGCTGAATGGTTTGTTCTGTACGTGAACAGCAGCGGGCCCAGCTTGGTTGGGAAGCGTGAGCTGATGTGAAGCCTCTCAAAGCATTTCATGATACAGCAGCTGGCACTCTGCTTTGGCTGAGGGTCCATGAAGATATCTGTCAGCTGTTCTTCACAGTGTGTTGGCACGCAGCCTGGGATGAGATCTGGACCCATGTTGCAGAAACCTCCTCATGCTGTCTGCAGTCACAGCCAATGGCTGGCAGGCTGGAGGCAGTGATAGTTGTTTGCAACCTCAAACATGTCCACTGTTCAGTGCCTGAAGTCTTTGCCATAAATGCCTCATGTCCTTGGTGCATTCATTGGACAACTGTTTTTAGCTTGTTCTTCAGTGTCACCAGCTCTGAATGCAGCGTCACAAATCCTCAGCAAGAAGCCGACCTCCCGTTAGCCGAGGTTTATTTCTGGAACGCAGCCTGACAGATTTAGCAAATCGGTGCATTTGTTTATAAATCCCATCACGAATATTCCTCTAGGTCTGTCGTCTCTTTGAAACGCTCCACTGTGCGCACTCAAAGCAGCCCTGTACACACTGAAGCCTCCTGTGGCTGCATGCTGATGCAGTCCTTGGTGGCTCTCCTCTTCCTCCGAGCCTGAAAGCTGGGTAAGGGAGGTGAGGGAGCTGCAGTGTATGTGTTTTTTCTGTTTGAATGTACATTAGCCCGTGTACGAGTCCCTCTTGTTGTGCATGTAACAAATGGAAGTGAGGTAAAAAAAAGACCTGGGGCTGTAGCTCAGGTGGTGTTTGATCCCTGGCTCCTCCAGTCTGCACGCATAATATCCTTGGACACTAACCCTGAGCTGCTCTCCGAGGCATCGATCGCATGTATAGGAAAAAGTTCTTGTATGCGCCGAGTTGTATAAAATGCTTTGAGTGCTCAGGTAGAGTAGATAAGCACTATATAAGAACCAGTCCATTTACCATTTAGCCAACAGGCCCGAGGAACCTGCCAGTCAGCCGAGGTCAGCCCTTAACCTGCCTTGATGCCTTCTTGCTTCCCTTGTTTACGTCTCCTTCACTCATTCAAGCTCGCACATTTTTCTGTGTGAGCTACATTCTGATGGATGTGGTCAGAGAGCAGCTTGGGGTTCGTATCTTGCCCAACGATATTATGCATGCAGACTGGAAATGAAATCCCAGAAAATGAGATTTATATCACGCAGAGGAAGATCAAGTGTATAGAGAAGTTTAGTTCAAAGCCACGAGTTACTGCAGGGCACAGTGCTGGGGGAATCTCACCTCAGCCGTCACTCAACCAGTTCTGAGCTCGGACCAACGTACAAATACTGATGCAGCATCCCTGCAATGCTCAGCCTCTAAAGTATCAGTGTCAGCTCAACCTAACATTAGTGAGGGATCCAGGGCAGTGAGCAGCTGTCACATGGCTCACTGTACGTTGGATGGCAAAGATCACGACCACGATGGAAAAACAAGGCGGCAGGAGGCCAAGAGTTAGGATGGGCTCTGTGTGAGGACCCCCACAGCTGACACTGAACAGGAGATCATATATCGAGGCCTGGTCACATGATTCCCAATAACTTTGAGCTGCTGTAAATTTCAAAACCACAAAAACAAAAAGTGATACACACTGGACAGATGGAGCATCAACATCTGATTACACTCCTGGTAGGTGAGGTTCGGGATGGTCTGAATGATTCCCAGGCTGCTCTTAACTTCACCACTGCAGTCACACTCGTGACTTTCTATTTCACATAATCATACGAGACATACAGAAATATGAGAGATAGTTTACATAAAGTCTATCCATGTATCACAACGGTGGGAACGCCACCAATCATTTCTACCATGTGACGCCGTGCCGTCCTTGCACAGTGCACACACAGCTCACCTGCGCTGTGCAACACTACAGATACTTTCTCCAGTGCTGCTCCTCATGACTAAGATACTGATACTGCAAATGCAGCAGCCTACTTTATTGTAAACGACAGTAAGCCACGAAGAGCAGCTGAAAATATCAGATTTAAGCAGCTGATTAAAGTCACTGACGCTTCCTCCCTGTTCTGTCTGCATGAGCACAGGGCTGCAAGTGGCTCAGTGTTGAGGATGCAGAGTTTTACATACTGGAACAAGTCAGAGATATAGACCCAACAACAAGGAAATTAAAGAGCAAGAATTCAGAACTTGTAACAAAGTAAACAGACTTTGTTACTTATGGTGGTCTGTAATGGCCTCGTAACACAAAGCAGATGAAAGAAAATAAAACAAACAAGCTCAACACATTTTCACAGATTTGTGAAATTCCACTAAAAATATGACTCTGAGCGTTCCTGTGAGTTTGATACATGTGAGTTTGATACATGTGAGTTTGATACATGTGAGTTTGATACATGTGAGTTTGATACATGTGAGTTTGATACATGTGAGTACACCTTTAGCAAAGGTTTGCTAAAAACATGCTGTGAATATTTAGTTGAATCACAACATTTGGTCAAGAACACCCTCAGTGCAAAACATCATATATGCATATTTGCTAACACACAGTTTTGGACCGCTCCTGTCAGTGGCACATGTGCACAGACACTAAACGGCCCGCTGTGAAGCATTAAACATGGCACAGATAGTTTCCTGCCTTATCGTTTAAGCACATAAATAGCAGTTAGATATTACTTAGTGAGTATTCCTAGACTCTACTGGAGGGTGGCCGAATGCAGCTGAATGCCAGGGCATGCAGGACAGGACAAGGCGATCAGAAGCACCTCATTGCTTTGATACAAACTGGCAGTGTTTGATTTGAACATGCAAATGCTGCAAAAAGTTTAGATCTCTGTTCCAGGGTTTTGCCTGTTTCTGAGGGCTCAGTCTCCTCCTCAGCCTGCATGAACGCACAACGTCCTACAGCAGTTTTACAGCAGAAGGACACACACGGTGGGGGAAAGCAGCACATCTTGTGGCCGTCTCAGAGGCTGCACAAACCGTAAAGCCGGGTTTCCACCACAAAAGTTGGTGATAAAGACCGAGCCCTGCTGCAGAGTTTAAGGGAACCCGACCTGCAGAGAATATCATTTCACAGCTGTGTGGCTGCTTCAAACGTTAGATGCACTCCTGATGGTGTGAGGAAGGACACAGAACCAGAGTGAGAAGTGGGTTTGAGATTAGAGATCAGATTTCAAACGTGTGGATTAGGGCTGCCACGATTAGTCGACTAGTCACGATTACGTCGACTATCAAA